TTATTTATTTTATGTTTAGGAAGAAAAGAATCACACTCCAACCGACTCAAACTTTCTTCTCTTCTATAATTAACTTTGACATTAAAATTAATATAATGTTAATTTAATTTTTATCTTAAATATATAAATTAAAAGTATAATAAATATAATTTTTTATAATTAATTTATATAAAAAGTTATAAAAATTAATATTTATATAAATGATTTTAATTGATTAATTAATTAATTGTTATAATTTTTTATATAAATTAATTAAAAAATTAAGTTACTTAAAAGGTTTAGAAATGTGATAATAACATTTTGGTGCCCATCAAGCTCGAACACGCGCTTCCATTGTCATGGGTGAAGTGACATACCAGTCCAGCCACTACACTTGCCTTGTTAAATCATCACACCATATTTTATTTATTCATATGCGGTTAAACTGGTGGTTTGAACGGTTAAATCGATTAAACTGATCAAACTGAGAACCAGAGGTCAAAACGGTTTGACCTTCGGGTCGGTTTTCAAAACATTGTTATAGAGGATATAAAGCTAGTTGTGCAGGGGAATTACTAGGAAAATGTGCCTATTTTCTTCATGCTTTGATGTCCTAGGTTCTTTGACTTGGTCCTTATTCTCAAGTTCTTCCTTTTCATTCCAAGTCTCTAGTATATGATTGTTTCTCTTTGAATACCTATGTAATTTTAGTCATGAGTTAAAATCAAAACTTGAAAAATTTGTCTATTTTCTTCATGCTTTGATGCTTGTGGTTGTTAAGTATTTTTGAACAATTTTAATTTTGAGACTTTTTGTGTAATGTCTGACTATGTGGTTGAGATGGTTGGTTTGTTGTTCTTTTCTTTTACATATGTACTTTATTTTTTAGTACATTAGAAGGTTAATTGTTAGGCATTATAAAGGTTTGAACATCTGACCTTAATCATAAATCAAGATTTCTAAGTTAATAGGTATCATTTTAGCCAAGTTCTAGTTGGTTACATATGCATTTTATAGCTTAGGGGATGAAATGCAATTTTGAATAGTATATTTGGGCTTTTGTGAATTTAGGGACAAACCTAACATTGGGCTTTCCCTTGATTTGAGATGCTAGTTGTCTTGTATTATTTTTACATTTTATTATAATTGTCATTTTTTGACTTTTTCTCAAATTAAGGATGTAGGGACTATTTATGTATTTATATGAAAAATGTTAGGAAAACTGGCCCTAGCAAGTTGACTAATGGTTGATGTTTGCCATGTCAAATAGACTTCCTTTTCTTTTAGGGTCAATTTGTTATTTAGTCCCTATTTTTAACAATTTAAGTTCATTTTAGTTCCTTTACTTTTTATTAGTTAAACTAAGTTAGTGGGAACTTTTGTTAATTTAGGAGATTCTAACAAAAAGTGGGTGCCTTTGATATAAAGCAATCTGTCAATGACTCTTTATGCATGTTTTTCATTTGTTTCTATACTTTGTCATTGATAGTGTTGAGATTGGGTGCCTTATCACATACTTGTTGCTAGTTTTGCTTCTTGTTACTTTCTAATAAAGTTAACTTTGACAAAATTGATACTTGATATTACTTGTCAATGATATTTCTGTTGTCACCAAACATTGCCTTTTACCCTTATTTTTGACAATTTTGAAATGGTAGATTTGTACATTGTTGGTAGTGTCATGCCATTATACGACCCTTGTATAGAGGGCACCAATGTCTTCCTTGCCTTTGATGTGCTTATAGTTTTAGTCATGATGGCCTTACAAGACTATGTCACATGCCCCATTGCTAATGAAGGGTACCCCTCAAAAAAGGATAGATCTTATCAATGAATGGATTGATGTGTTATCGAGTCCAAAGGCAAGTTTTGTTTCTTGCACCTATTCAGTTTACTACCTTGATATGTATTGTCCAACATTAGATTACTTTGGTTGTAGATGTTAGGTGATGAATCTTTTCATGGCATTTTGGACAAAGCTGACATACTAAAGTAATTTGCCTATGCCAAGTCTATAAATCAATGTCAACGTGTGAACCCTTCATCAATTTGTCAAAAGGTGGCATCCTAACACTCACACCTTTTTTATTAGTTTTGGCAAATTTTCGACCTCACTAAAGGACATTGCCAACATAATGTACTACCCATTCTTGGTGACAAAGGTCCCAACTCAAAGAAGATTAGGTTGTTAGACATAAAGAAAAAGATTGTAGCTGATCTAATAGAGGCATGGAGGTGGTTTAAGTCTCTCCCAATGGGTCATCCATTTTATGTCTAAGGGTGAAGTTGCCCCACTTAATCAATGAGAAGCCTTTTTGACAATTTGGATTAGTAGGTTTGTTTTTGGTAGCTCATCATCAAATTTATTTAGATGAAGTAGAAGGCACTGGATATTATATAATTAAGATGGAAGTCCATTTTGATAGTTTTGCAAGTGTTTCTTTAAGAAAAGTATTGTACTTTCAATGACAAATGCAACATGATAAGAATTGCAATGACTAAGTTCAGATCTAACCTTTATGGATTCAAAGAAGGAAAGGTGCCATTGATGTGCTAGTGGGGTAAATTGTGTGATATAGGCAACATGGCTGTCTAACCATTTAAGGAGGTAATTGATAGTGGAGATGAGTTTGTTTTTTGTCTTTAAGCTAATCTACATGTTGAGTGCACTTTAATTGAAATTTATTTTACTGCTCTGAGTGACATAGGTATATTAGTCAAATACTCAATTAATAAGATATGTGCTTTGACAAGGTTTGCCATTTGGACTTCATCTTGTGTTCTTGGTTTTGATGCAAACAAGCAAATGGTTCCATTGTAGTACAAGCCAAGTTATTTGTATTGTTAGTTCAGATATGATCAATCTCTACTAATGTTGCCAATCACTAACTACCATTGGCCCCAATTATCAAAATATTATTTAACCCCCAAGGCGAGAGTGCATTGGCAAAACTATGTAGATTGTGATGACATAGGTGTGTTGCTCACCCCAAGCTTCAGGTTCTTCACAATGTCAGCCACCATGTTGGAATATTGGTGAGATCTCATTGAAGAGTGTTCAATTTTCAGTGACTTGAAGCCTGAGGTAACGATAAAAGAAAACGGGCAAGAAACACAAATTGTTGACTTAAATTGCCCAAGGTCAATTAAGCAAGGTTTGCTACTAAACACAAACTCTCTTTTCATGTGCAAAATGCCAAAGGTGAATGGATTGAATTTCTAGAAATTGAAGAGATCAATGGTAAGAAAAGAAAGGGTCTTGCTACATTTGTTGAGGTTAATGAAGGATTAAGTATGTTTCCTTTTAATGCTTGTGATTACTTTGTCATTGCATTGTCACTTTATAAGTTTAACCCCCCCCCCTTTTGACAAAAGATAAGAAAGATGACACAATTCCCATGCCAAAGTCTAACAAAACAGCTAAGGGATTCTTTTCTAGCTTGGCTATAGACAAGGCTATAGTTAGACAGTTATCTAAGGGCATGCAAGGGTAATGTCATGCTACAATCAAAGACCAAGCCTGCCCTTATTAGAAGGTTACCAAGAAGAGGTTTGAAGACAAAGCCCATGAAGCCTAATAAGCTCGATGGCTACACTAAGACAGCCATAGAGGTTGGCAAAGGTAGAGATTCAGATGGCAATGAAGAGGTTATTGACATTGCCAGTGGCAAACTTACTACCAAAAAGGTACTTTCCTTTTTCCTTTTCAGTTTCATGACATAAACTTTTGATGAGTTGTTTTTATTGTTGCACTCACCTTTATGTAAAGGAATTGTTATACCTAAAATTGAGTCCTTTGAGAATTAGGACACGTGGAAATATCTTAGGAAGACTCTCAAAGAATAAGATAAACCCAATTCTATTAGAAATAGACCTTCTAAACACCAATCAAAATAAAGTTGTATTCCTAGGAAAACTTTATGTAAACATCCTATAAATACCTCAAGAATAAAATTAGGAGGGCATATTATTTTCTCTACTCTCTCTCCATTATAAACTCTTTCTACTCTTGATCAATAAACTTCTTAGTTTCATACCTTTTTTTCCTATTTTTTAGTGTTAACATTTGGTGCCCACCATGGGGTCGAGTTCTTGTTCCCCCATGAATACCACATAGAGAATTTAGGAAACTCATCAACACCTCTTAACGACATCCAAAATTCTAGAAAAAACATAGAAATGAGCACCTTTTCTTCATCAAGAACGAATTCCGAAGACGCCACTGGCGAATCTAAACCAAGAGCTTCGTCAGTAACATCATAAGTGTGAAGGCTAGTGAAGGATATGGAGGAAACAAGGCAAAGCTTGAAGGCAATTGAAAAAGCCATAGCATCCTTCACAAACACAGCAAACACTCAAGCACAAAATCTGAGGAGATAGGAGAGCATGGCCACCCAGAAGCATGAGGTAGTATCTTAGAGGGGTAGAGGATTCAATGCTTGGAAATAGTGATTATGATGAGGAAAGTTACGCACCTTCAAGATAGATAGAGCCAACTACTGATTCATATTTGCAACCATCCTTTGCTTTCACTAAGTACAAACTCCAGGAAAGAGACATGTTGACAAAAACATAAACAAATGGAAGGAAAGGTGCACCACAAAATTATGGGGCAACCCTTGTAATAGTACGACCAAAGGATGAAAACATATATAGAGAGATAGATGCAATGCGTCAGTATGTAACACAAATAGAAACCAACTAACAAAGGTATTCATAAACAACACACACAACTTTAGTAAAAAAGGCTTTCGTTGATGATGTCATTAAAGAACCTATGCCGCTAAACTTCAAAACTCCCCAATTGGCGGAATATGATGGGACACAGGATCTAGTTGAGCACGTATAGGGATTTAGAATGGCAATGATAGTTTATGGAGCTTCTGATGCTCTACTATGCAAACAATTTCTTGCAACCTTTAGGAAAGCAACGCAGGCTTGGTTCGCAACATTACCTGATAGATCTATTTGGACCTTCGATCAATTTACAAATATGTTTATTAATCATTTTATGACTAGTAGAACTCCTCGAGAAACTAATTATCACTTGTTGACAATCAAACAAAAAACAGATGAATCATTAAGAGCCTACATAGCAAGATTCCATAATGAAGCTGTGCAATTTGAAAAGCTAGACCAAAGCGTAGCAATGCATGCTTTGATGGATGGCCTAAAAGATTCAAGCTTTTACAGGTCTTTAAATGAAAAAGAACCAACTAGTTTTAATGATTTATTAAAAAGAGCAGAAGGGTATATCATGGCAGAAGAAAGAGCAACAGTTAAAGAAGCACAATAAAAAAATATGAGAGCATCAGAAGAAACTCAAAAGCGGAAAATAGAAAAAGAAAAGATCAAAGGGAGCTACAGAGATAAGAGGCAAACAAAATACAACTTAAGCAATAGAATTTCGAAACACAAAAAGAATTCAGGGGATATACAGTGTTCACACCTTTAAATGCAAGTAGAGCAAAAGTTCTTAACACAACAAAAAGAGTAGAAAAGCTACAATGGTCGACAAGACTGTCAACACATTCAAATAGAAGGGATAAGGCACGATTTTGCAAGTTTCATGGAGGTCATGGACATGATATAGAATAATGTAGACACCGGGAAATGGAAATTGAAAGGTTAATAAAAAGAGGAGCCCTTCGATAGTTTATCAAGAAAAATCATGAAGACAGAAAGGAAAAACGTCTACATAATGGAGCCTTACAAAAAGGACATGGGAAAATAGAAGATTGTCTTTAGATGTAATGGGGATCACTAATGTTGTAACTATGCCGAAGAAGGTACAGACCAAGAAGAAAGCTTCATTAATGACACTGGAAACATAGAAATTAACAGAGAAGGATGAAGCCATCACTTTCATAGGAAAAGATTTGCAATAGAGAGAGGCATTTCCTCATGAACCCACGATAATTGATGCAATAATAAAAGATAGAAACCTTCGCCAAGGTAAGATAATGAAGAGAGTACTAGTAGACATTGAAAGTTGTAGGGATATACTCACGTTTGAGGCCTTCCGGAAGCTGGGATGCCCCATGCAACTTATGAAGCCTTGTAATTTTCTACTAGTAGGATTATCTAGGAAAGTTGTGTCAGTAATTGGCATCATTACGTTACCTAACATTGGTGATACCTCCCAGCAAGCTGTGATAACTTAGGACTTCTTCATCATAGATATTCCATGCTTTTTCAATGCAATCTTGGGGAGACCAGGTTTGAATGCCTTGCAAGAAGTAATCTCCACATAACATATGATAATTAAATTTCCCACACCAAAAGGTATTGGGATAGCTAAAGGAAGATCCAAAGAGTTTAAGGAAACCACCACAGTACAAATCTCTGAATAGTTACAAGGATAAAAGCTACACACCAACTCTCAAATTTGGGACCTAATTGCAACTGGAGACATTGTGAGGAGGAAAGCGTTAATTATCGATATAATGGATACATGTGGAGGTTTAGAAGAGCAAAGAGTAGAACCCATTGACCACACAAAACTTGTGTTTCTTGATCCAGAAGATCAAGAGAAGACAACCAATGTTGGAGTTGATATGGATCCTGCATTCACTAGGTGCCTAGAAGATTGTTTGAAAAGACATAAAGACGTGTTTGCATGGAGCGCACTAGACATGCCAGGAATAGATCCTAATGTTGCATGTCATAGGCTTGGCACACCCTCAATAGTTGTGCTGGTGAGGCGAAAGATGTGACAATTTGGGGTTGAAAGAATGGTTGCTATACAAGAAGAAGTAAAGAAGTTAAAAGAAGCAAGATTTATAAAAGAAATCACCTTTTGTGATTGGCTATCTAATGTTGTTATGGTTAAAAAAGCAAATGGTTAATGGCGTTTGTGCATAGATTTCATAGACCTTAATAAGGTGTATTCGAAGGATAATTATGCACTTCCAAATATAGATGAGTTAGTAGACAATTCCTCGAAATACAAGCTACTTAGTTTCTGTGATGCTTATTTTGGGTATAACCAAATCCCAATGGCTGAAGAAGATTAAGACAAAACAACCTTTATCGTAGTTGGAGAAACATATTGCTATATGATGATGCCATTTGGCCTAAAGAACGTAAGTGCAACATACCAACTCTTTGCAAACTAAATCTTTGTACTCTTGAAAGAAAGATGCGTGGAAGTATACGTTGATGATTTGATAATAAAAAGTAAAAGCTTAGACCAACATCTAGAAGACTTGGAATAGGTTTTTAACATACTATGAAGCTACAACTTGAAGCCGAATCCTGTGAAATGCATGTTCAGAGTAAAAGCTGGCAAGTTTTTAGGCTTCATGTTAACTAGCAGAGGAATTGAAGCTAACCCAGAAAAGGTGCGAGCAATAATAAAAATGAAACCTCTAACTTCAATAAAAGAAGTACAGCACCTCATAGGGAAAATTGCAGCATTAGGCAGGTGTCTAGCAAAATCTACAGCAAAATGCTTGCCCATTTTTAAAACCCTATGAGGTGGAAAAAATTTTAAATGGATGCAGCATTCTCAAAGAGCCTTTGGTCAATTAAAAACATACCTGTCATTGCCATCTTTAATCAGCAGGCTCATCTTAGGAGAGACATTAATTTTATGCATTGCAGCCACCACTGAAGCAATCAACACAACTTTAGTAAAACAAGACCAGTAGAAGCAAAAACCTATGTATTTTGTAAGTAAAGTGCTATAGGAACCTAAGAAAAGATACTCACCTCTAGAACAGTTAGCATATGTGGTCATCATAATGGCCAAAAGACTCAGGTACTATTTTTTGGGGCAGAGAATTTTAGTCTTAACTGATTATCTGTTAAACTATGTGTTGCAAAAACTAGATTTGGTGGGAAGGTTGGTAAAATGGAGTATTGAGCTTATAAAGTTCAAGGTAGAATTTTAGCCACAAAAAGCTATGAAGGCATAGGTTCTTGCAGATTTCATCGTAGAATTAAGCAAGGAAAAGAAAGCTGTATTGGGCACACCTTTACCAGCACCCCCAGCCAAACTACATTCACAAACGTAAAAGAAGGAACAATTAAAAGCAATGCCGCCAAACCTCTTATGGATGCTACACATAGACGGGTTTTCAAGTGAAAATGGGAGCAGCACAGGAATCAAATTGATGTCACTTGAAGGAGAAACCTTCGAATATGTGTTAAGGTTCACATTTGAAGCATCCAACAATAGAGCTGAGTACAAAGCTCTGCTAGGAGGACTCAGATTAGCAAAAGCTCTGAACATAGAATATGTGGAAATTTTTATTGATTCCCAATTAGTGGTAAACCAAATAAAGGGAAATTTTAATGCTCAAGAAGCAGCTATGGTGAAATGTTTAGAAAAAAACTACGTAGCTTCTAAAATCTTTCACAGGATATGAGCTTCATAATATAAAAAAAATTGACCACTCAAAAGTTGATGCATTGGCAAGATTGGTGAGCTCAGGAACCACGGACTCAGGAACCACGAACTCAGGAAAAGAAATATACGTTGAAGAATTTTGTTCCTTGTCAATATCTAAAAAAGATACCCTGGATATCAAAGAAGAAATAACCTGGATGGATCCCATTAAAAGGTACTTGTTCAGTGGAGGTTTACCTAAAGATAAGGAAGAAGCTCAAAAACTAAAACGGAAAGTTGCATGGTATTGATGATCAGCTTTATAGAAGATCATACACACAACCATTGCTTAGATGTCTGACATCATGTGAGGCAAAAAAGGTAATGGAAGAAGTGCATGAAGAAGAATGCTTTAGCAACATTGTAGTAGATGAGCTGTCATTCAAAATCCTACGCTAAGGATACTTTTGGCCCACAATGAAAAAGATGCAAAGGAATATGTCATTAGATGTGACAAGTGCTAGAGATTTGCACGAATCTAGCACCAACCATCAAATCCTTTGCACATAATAACAGCTTTATGGCTTTTTGCCCAATGGGGAATGGACATACTTGGACCTTTCCCAGAAGCCAAAGGAAAGAAGAAATACCTCATAGTAGCAATAGATTATTTCACCAATTGGGTGGAGGTAGAAGTTGTGGCTAAAATAATACAGTAGAAAATCGAAGAGTTTGTGAAAATATATATTATATGCATATTTGGAACTCCAAGGATCTTGGTCATAGATAATGGGAACTAGTTCGCCAATCAAGCTTTCAAGAACTTTTGCCAAGCACAAAACCTGGAAAGGTGTTTCACAATAAAAGCTCAGCTCAAAAACGAGGGTAAGACACCTAAACAAATTGAACAAAGGTTTGCTTCAATAACATACCCCGAATCAAATGGACAAACATAAGCCACGAATAGAGCTATATTGGACAGCTTAAGGAAGAAAGTAGGAAAGGCTAAAGGCACATGGATAGAGGAGTTGCCATACACATTTTGGGCTTATAGAACCACACGTTGCACACCTATAGGTGAAACTCCATTTAATTTAACAAATGGAACTGAAGTTGTGATTCCTGTGGAAACCAAAATTTTGACATATAGGGTAAGCCACTATGATGAGCACAAAAATGAGGAAGCCTTGAGAGCAAATTTGGATTTACTAGAAAAAATAAGGGGACTTATCACAAATACAACTAGCAAACTATCATAGGAAAGCAGAAAATATTATAATTGCAAGATAAAACCCAAAAACCTGTGCAAAGGAGATTGGGTACTATGAAGAATAGAGGTTTTAGAAAGCAACTCTTGAGAAGGAAAGTTGTGATCAAACTGGGAAGGGCTATACCTCATCAAGGAGGACTTAGGAAATGGAGCTTTTAAGCTGATCTGTTTAAATAGAACACTAATCTGGCAAATATGGAATGCTACACATCTCAAGAAATACTACTAGTGAGTAAAAAAAAAAAAAAAAAAAAATTTCTAAAGAACATTATGAAAAACATAAATTCAAAAAACATTAATCCACATACTACTAAAAAAAAAAAAAAAACAAAACCACGCTTTGTAAAATGTTCTCAATGAACATTATAGTTGCATCAATCCTAATTTTATCAGAATCTATCTTCAAAACTGCAATGAGTCAAAGCTTTAGACACCAACAAAGGTGAAGTAAAGCTGTAAAGTCTTTTCAAAATAAATCCAGATAAGTTAGGCAAACTAACTAGAACATGCTTAAGCAAAATAAAAAGCCGCAAACAAGTTAGGGTATCCACAAGTACCTTGGTAGAAGCTACGTGAGTGAGGCTACGAAGGTTAATGTAGTTTTCAAACCTAGAAGAGAATTTGCAATATAAACATGTAGTAATTGATTGGAGTGTAGAGTTACATCCCAACCTATCTTTTATACAAGAAAAATGAGGATATGGCACATACTAACCAATCATTAACTTATGGATCCTCATTGATGAATGAGGATACCATCACCATAAGAAGCTGTGAAAGCTAATAAAACTAATAAAGAGTTGTGGAAATGATAAAATCAAAATAATAAGCAAAGATTGGTGCAATTTTGGTGAAAAGTCATAATGCTAGCATGGCCAAAACTCGAGTTTAAAAAGAAAAGAAAAAATAACTATTCACCAAACAGGTGCACGAAAGACAAAAACTAACATAGCTTAAAGGAATGTCAAGGCAAAATCCTAAACATTAAATAGAAAACCCATAAGAAAAACAAAGTAGCATGACCTATATGTATACTTTCAAACCCTAAATGCTTTTTTGCAGGATCTATAGCTTTAATCATCCGGGGAAGGAGAGGCACTCGTCGAGTCAGCAGAATTGTTCCCACTATGAATAGCATAATAGAGTCCTTAGAATCCTAAGAACTGTTGGAACCTTCCTTTACTCCAAATGGGGAAACACTAAGAGGGACATGCTTTGGGCCTTAGTCATAAATCCTCTTCAACTCAAGATCTGCACAAACCATGGCAGTAACATCCATATTCTCAAAATTAGCAAGATGTTCAGGTACGATCATCCTTTGGCAAGGAAGTAACACCTTAACCAACTTAACAACAAGATTAAAATAGTCAAGACCACCAGAAAGGGCAAATGCCCTACCTCAAAGGATTCTTTAAAGGCTTGAATAGTAGAAGAAGCGAAAACCTACAAAGAAGAAACTTGCATCTGCAATTGAGAAATAGAATCTTCTAAAACGGAGTTTCCTAAAGTTTGCTCCAATTGCTGCAAGAGGGTGGCATTGGAGGATGTAAAAAACACCCTCTCAATAGAAGCCGAAGAAGAGATAAGCTTTTTCTCCCTCTTTAGCAAATCATAGCATTCTTGGAGCATAGGCAATTCTTTTTTCAATCTTTCAACTTCAGTCAAACTAGACTCCAAAGCTACTTTCTTATTGGTGCTAATCTTCTCAGAATTAAGTTTGTGACATAGGTTTATCAAATCCTTCCTCTTCGACCGCATCTTGACAAGATCAACCTTGACTCGATAAGACAAATTTTCTTTCTCCAAGATAAGATTCTACATGTATTGCAGAAGGGTACAAACTTGTAATAAGGTACAAGAGAAACCTAAAGTAAGGAACAGGAGATCAAAAAGGTACTAATATAAAGAAATAATAACAAAGGAAGGAAACACATACGTTAGCAGCATTATGAACGGCCATATCATGCAACGCTTCCAAAGGAAAGTCAGAGAGCAATTTTTTGTCACCATCAAGAAGCAAAGATTCAAAAGATTCACAGGCAACTAAATTATGTCCAATAATAAAGGGGCCGTCAACACGAATGTCGTAACCTAAGCAAGAAAGGAAGAGGCTCAAATAAGAAAAGAGGAACAGAAGGGGAAAGCAACAAAGGAATAGCATACTAGGTCGAACAACATCCTTCAAAGGTGGATGAGGCAAGGACTTGGAAAAACTTTTTCCAGTAATAGAATCCATTATAGAAGAAATTAAAGCTTTCTCCTCAGAAGAAAAACTCTGCAGCTCATCATTAAGAAGAGCAAATAGTGAGGATGTTTCTTTACTAACTTCCACCACACTCTTCGCCACTTTACCCTTAGAGGAACTAACATCAGTAGCTGCATTAACAGAAAGAGAGCTTTTTAGCCTCTTAGACCTCATCACAGACATAAGAACCTTTTAAGAAGTAGCTTCTTTAGATCTATTCAAAACCTTCTCAACCTTAGTAGATCGACTCAAAGCAACTAAAGTATCCATGCCACTTGCGCAAAAGGAAGACATAAATGCCAAAATCAACAAGAAAAAACAAGTAAGAAATAAAGGAAGAAGACAAAATACTTGCAACAGCAAGTAAGGGCTCAGAGATAGTGACAGTGCTAGTCTCACCAATTTTCCTTTTCAAAGGATGCTCAGGCTTCGAGGAAGCCTCAAAACTAGGAAGGACTGACAGAAGAGGGAAATTAGGGCCACAAAAACTGGGAACCCAAACACCCTAATCAATTAAACTCTTTTAGGTAATCAACTTGGCAATACTCATAGAAGAGGCTCTATAAGAAGCTGGTAGATAGCTTTATAATCGTCAATAGTTAGAAGAACTGTCATAATAGTGGTCCGTGGGACCCTCCAAATTGAGGGGAAGTCAACATCCTTTGGAGTGTTCAAAAGAAAAATCTCATGTGCTATTTGTTAGAATCAAAACTAGGTAGAAAATCCATGAGAACAACATTGCCTCAACGACGTTTCTTATCATTAATGCCCCGCAACTCCAACACCCTATGAGAGAATACCAACTACTAGTAGGCTCGGTAGTCTTCAAATGAAAAAATAAGTGATACACCTCCTGGGTGGGAGTGATCTTAAGCAAAAAACACCTTATGATGAAAGTAACAATATAAGCAATGGCTTGAGGAGCTAATTGAGGTAGGGTAAGGGAAAATGCATCACAAATTTTAGTAATAAAGAGACGTAGAAGAAAGCGTAAACCACAAGTAAATTGATCCTTCTAAAAACACATGTCAAACGGAAGGCATTAAAACGTTATGCAACCCATAGGATATCGTGGAGCAAAAACCTATGGATCCATTAGATTCTTCTAATAAATTTCCCTTATCTTGTTAACATCACAGCTACTAGTCACCCAAGAAACCTTATCCACACTACTAAAACCCCTTGCTGAACCCAATACAAAACTAGCTTTCTCATCTTTTGAAGGAGAGGGCAAAACAAAAAAGAATCTCTGTAGGAAAAGGGGGAGTCACGGGCTCTTTCTCCACATGCCAAGAAGCCCCCTTCACCAAAAATCTCCCGTTACTAGCACGAGGAAACAAAAGATGTAAAAATAATCGAACTCAAAAGAAGGGGCAGCCATTTCAAAGAACAGAGGTTCCACGATAAAAGGAGTCGAGGAAGAGCCAACAACGACAGAAGGGGGTGCATAGGAGACTCAGCAGAAGAAACATTAAGGGTGGTACTAGCAACAACATCCACCACCACCACAACAATGGCCTTAGCAACTAAGGCAACAATGGTAGAATCCGAGAAGCCCCTTTCCATTAGGTTCAAGGTAATGGGACAGTGAGGGAAGAAAGAAAAAGACATCAAATGGAGAATAAGGGAAAGCCAAGAGAAAAAAAAGGTGAAAAGATAAGAAAAATTAATAAACAAAAAGGAAGAAAATCACCATAAGGAAGAAGAAAAGATCAAAAGGAGAATAGAGGAAAACCAAGAAAAAAGAAGGTGAAAATACCAGGAAAAATTAATAAATAAAAAAGAAGTGAATAGCTAGAAGGGAGAAGGTAAAAAGATTGAAAAAAAAAAAGTAATAAAAAAGGAGGTAGAAAGTTCGAGAGTAACCCCTTATAAAAAACCCACATTTCAAATTTATTTATTTTTTAATCAGCATTAAATGGAGAATCTAAGGAAATCCCCCAAGTACAAATGTCAGTACAAACCACAAGTAAGGGCTGGACAAGTATAAAAACTTGTAAAGGGAAATGACTACACCACAAAGAAATCTTGAGGAAACAAATAATACAATTGAAGACAAATAAAGGAACCATGATACCCTTGTAGCATATGGAAGATCGACAGAAAGCATACCGAAAGCTGTGAACCTAAAGAAAAACCTGTGTTGTAGTCTTTTTTCCTTAAGCTAGTTTTTCATCCCATAAGGTTTTTTACTAGCTAAGGTTTTTAACGAGGTAGCCACGGTCATAAAATCTTTGCCATAAAAAGATGGAACCTCTTAAAGGAAAAGATAGGAAAAAGCTATGTAGAATTTGGAGTCAAGTTACAAATAGCAAAACCTATGCAAAGATGAGACTCAGCAAGTTTTCGTTACCCTTGAACTTTTTCATTGGGAGGCAAATGTTATACCTAAAATTGAGTCCTTTGAGAATTAAGACAAGTGAACATATCTTAGGAAGACTCCTACCAAGAATAAGATAAACCCAATTCTATTAGAAATAGACCTCCCAAACACCAATCAAAATAGAGTTGTATTCCTAGGAAAACTTTATATAAGCATCATATAAATACCTCAAGAATAAACCTAAGAGGGCAAATTATTTTCTCTACTTTCTCTCCATTGTAAACTTTCTCTACTCTTGATCAATAAAGTTTTTGGTTCTATACCTTCTTTCTTATTTTTTTAGTGTTAATAGAAACTAACAATGGGTATTTTAGCCTCAAACAAGAATTTTTTTTCATGCTTTGTAGGGATAAAAAGTATGAAGAAAGATAATTTCTTTCTTGAATAAATCTATGCATATGGAGCTTAAAATATTATCTTAAAAAATAATTAGAAGATATTCTTGAAAAAAAATCAATTAGTATAATGTAATTATCTAACATAGTAAATTAAATATTTGCAATTTATGGATATATTTTAACAAAATATATTCAAGGACAAAGCTTGACATAATTTTTTTTTTTTTGGAAAAAGGGAAGTTCTTCCATTAAACACTGGATAGTATATACACTAAACTCAAGCATACCCTGAGACTTACAATTCTCAAAACATTTTTCTTAAAAAAGCAACTATCTTATTATATACATACCTTTCATTTGAAACTTTACTAAGAAATATTTGCTTATTTCTTTCCTGCCAACTCACATATAAGGTAGCAACCAATGCAATATTTAATTTCTTTACCAATCACATAAATTGTGTGAGGCCAACAAAGTTTTTCCAAGCACATACAAAATAATATAAAGTATGGGATATATAACATACGAGATAAATTTAATAATCAATTATCTTCTTTGCCAAAACAAGTTAAGATAAAAGTAACAGAAAAATAATGCATACCTCTTGAGGTAATATTCATCTCTCTTTCAAAGATTTAAAATCCTTAATAACTAAATCTAAATTAAAGTTCTTTGAAATCTCCTTTTTGATGTAGCAATTCAAACTATTAGAGAAAAAAAATCCATCCTCCATTATGTTTCAAAGTCTTAACCAATTTCATGGCTAAAAATGCTTGTTCTATAGTTACCAGGGGTTAAATACCAATGTTTGTCCTTAAACTTTTAATTTTAAAACATTTTAGTCCTCAAATTATTTTTTACACTTTTTTTGTCCTTAAACTTTGAAAAATCCACTTTTTTTGCTTTTTCATTAGTTAATCCATTAAATCTATTCATATAAGTAAATTTTTAAAAAATATCCATATATTATAAGTTTAAAAACTAAATATATATATAGATAAAATTAATGGATTAACTTATGAAAATGCTAAAAAACTATATTTTTTATAATATAAGGACCAAAAAATGAAAAAATAGTTTAGAGATTAAAAATGTTCCAAATTTAAATTTTGTGGATTAAAATTTGGCATTTAACCTTACTAGGGAGACTGGGAGTGTCAAAACTAGATGAATAATATAGATTATGGCTTAAATTACATCATCTAATAATAGAGATTAAACTAATAAAGTCATAATTTGAAAACAATTATAATTATTTATTCAAATTATACAATTTTTAAGTCCCTCTTGGACCTGCAATTTTTAAGTTGAAAATTTCTAATACAAAAACTCATAATAAAGTAAGAAAAACAGTAAACTAAAAAGTTATGATAAATAATTCTTACAAGAGAAAAATTATAATTATTTAATTGTCAAAAATACAAATCACAAAGTTAATTAGAGATAAGAAAGAAAGTTAGTAGAGATAAACCTTTCGTACCTCAACTTTTAGATATGTATAAAAATTGTCCTTGAACTTTAAAAATACCAAAATTATTCTTAAGCTTTAATGTATAGTACCAAAATAATCTTTCCATCAATGGAAATGCCAAATGGCTCATTATCTTATCATATAATTTAGCTAGGGTGCATTTGAGATTGTAGTTGAAAGTTTCTTCGTATAATTGTACTTGACTTTTGGATATATGTGTATTTTATAATTTTTTTAGATTATTTTTTTAAAGTTGTAGAAAATTGGAACAAATATATAGTAATTTTATATATAAAACCAAAAATCTCATTTTGGAGGCTTTTTGGTTATGACTTTTACAAAAAAACACATAATATTTAATATAATTACAAAATTACCTATTAAAATTCAACTTTATATAATTTAATTACATAATAATTTATAATATTTTAATACTTATAACAAATTTAAAAATCTTAAATTATTAAAAATAGTAAATATTATTTATTTTAATAATTATACATTTTACAATATTTTTTAAATTTTAATTAATAATTAATAAAATCTATTATATTTCATCCATAATATTTTAAAAAAATAAACAATCAAATACTAAAGTAACTTATAACCAAATACTAAAACAATTTTTAACCACAATTATAATACAACACAATTTAATATAAGCATAATTATAACATATTTTACAATAATATTAAATATAACCTAATTTTTTTTTAAAATATTAATAAAATATAAAATTAAAATTATATTTTATCACTATGACATCCTTTACTTTAACGTCATATTATCACTCACCCGCCCTTTTCAGCCTTCCATTTTATTGGGACCTACATGAATATTTATTAAATTACAAATCTATCCCTACTTCTATATTCTTCCACACCCTCTCACGCCTTTCTCGCTCTCCGTTCTCCCTCCTCTTCTCCGACATCGTCGGTGGCAATGGCAACACAGTGCTCTTCCTCCTTTTTACTTCCTCTATTTCTCTTTCTCCCTTTTCCCATGGCGTGATCTTCAATTAGGCAGCATCGCCTTCATGGTGCAAGGAATGTGGCATGAGGGGACTCGGATCTATATTTGCTCACTGTCGCGAACCCAGATCTGTGTTCTAACACTTCACTTTCCCTCAAATATGAGGCATTATCCCCAATCTCCTCAGTAAGCCGTCTATCTCTAGGTTCCCTTTCTTTTATTTTGTATTTTGAAATGGAGGGGTTCTTTGGATCTTGTTGATCGGGAGGATTGAGTCTAGTGATGACACAGCAGAGGACGGAAGTTTAGGTTTGAATAGTGGAGGGAGGGTGATGGTAGAGTAGAGAAGGGACGGCGATGACATGAGCTGAAGAGTGTTGGTTTTTGGAAGGGATTTTATCTTTCTCACCTATAGATTTAGGTTTTAGGAGCCAAGTTGGTGCTTATCTTAGAACCCAAGTTCTCCAATGAACCCACTGATTTGGATATATTTTTATGGGGCTGCAAATTATGTCTTAACCGAAATTGGAGATTGAGTTTCCTTAAAGGTCTTCTTTTCTTGTACTTTTTTGTGAATGAATTCGTGATTTTTAATCAAATTTCAAAATTGAGTTTCCTGGCTCTTCAATGAACCCATAGATTTGGATTTTAAGTTTCATTACAAACCCGAAAACCTTTGCTAGAGACGAAGCGCTCAGCATCGGAGATGGATGGGTTGAGAAGAGGAGTTGAGTTGAGCCTGATAGTTTTCCCCTTTTTTAATCGTAAGTTTTTTTTTTTTTTTTTTTTTTTTTTTTTTTTTTTTTTTTTTTTCTGTTTAAGTTTAATTGGACTTAAACATAATTAATGCTTTAAATTTTAAATTAATTACTTTAATTTGTGAATTAATAGGGGTTACTATTTAGTGTTTTTCCGAGCAGTGGTAACGGGTTTTCCTCTTAGGTTTCTCTTTGACAGAGGGGTTTCTTCATCCCTCTTTTCTTCTTATCCCTCCCCCTCCTCTTGATCTCCTCTTTCATCTTGTAGCTATCTTGCTTTGCAAACTCCAATCCAAGGAACTGTAATGACTTTTTGGGTTTTTTAGGGTTTATACTAATAGACTTATTTAGTCTATATAATGATTGTAAATTCAATCTTTGGTTATGGATAGTTTTTTTTCCTTAATTGTCTACGTCTACATCCATTATAGGCATAATTATGCCTATAATTTAAGTTTGCTACTGGCACTCTAGGCTATACTTCTGGTTTTATCTTTAGATTATTTTAATTTTGACCATATGTCATAAGACTAAGATATTATTGTAATTTTTTAATACTTAATATAATTTTTATTTTTCATAAAAAAAGATTAGTGTTTGTTCATCTTACTTTTAAAAAATTAAGAGAAAAAAAAATAAAAATTACCTTAATGCATACTTTAAAAATAAAGTAATTTAGTTTTTTTTAATAAAAATTTATTGAAACGAAATAGTTTTGGGATGATTTTTTTCTTAATTTTTAAGAGTTAAGATTGATATGCACTATTTTCTCAAAAAAAAATAAGGGTTACTATTTGTTTTTAATTTTTAAAGTATAAAAATACTAACATGAATCCCAGGCATGAAAAAAAAAAAAAAGCAGCTAGGTAACCTTTCAAATTTCCATCTCATTTGCATGCAATGATAAAAATTAAAGAAAATTTGAATATTTAGATGAAATTGATATTGAAAATTGAAGTTTAAGAATGATTTTGATATCCTTTGGAGATTTAAAAATAAATTTAATATAAATTTAAAAGTTAAGGAGCAAATTAGTATTTTAACGTTTAACAAATGTTGCTTTGCTTTGATGCTGTCCACTTCATTTTAGAAGGTGATCATAAAATAAGAAATAAGTTATTTATGGGCTTGTTATCAATTAAGTCTTGAGTTGGGCCTATCCTTTTACCTATTTATTTAATTATTTAGAGGAAATTATAATTTAGTTACTTGTGGTTTAGTATTCATATACAAAAGGATTCAAGATTTTAATATATATATTTATATATATAATATACTTGTGATTTAAGGTGAGTGGATATAAAATTTTAAAATTTCAAAATGTGTAAATAAAGACTTAAAATTTGTATTAAGTATACATGACAGCTTGAACTTACATGAAATTATTTTAAATATCCTTCTTCTTCTTTTTTTTTTTATTCTTTTAAGTTAGGGATTTTAAAGAAATTTCAAATGATTATTAGTACTAAATGTAGACCTTAGGTGTTTTATGTGCACTGTTTGACATATTGGGTCTTTATCTACACATACTCAAAATCATAAATAAGTTCTATGTAAGTTTTAAAATCTTAAATCTTTGTATACACTTATTTCAAATTATAAGTAATTAAATCGTAATTTCTTGGTTATAGAAGGGAGAAGAGAAGAGAGAAAATTTTTTTATTAAATGAAATTATAATATTTTTAAATATTATTATTTGACCGATTAAACAATCTTCCATTCCCTTTCCCAAACTTTTAAGCTGGGTCTTAACATTTATACTGCAATAATATGTTTCATGAATATACCTTAATAAATCAACTAGATCCAACTCCCACCAAAAAACCGATTCCTTTTTCTTACCGGCCAATCCTAATTTCAAAGAAAGAACTCTTCCTTGTCTGTTTTAAGCCTTCTTTGTTAATGAAGGGGATCCTTGAGAAAGCTCTTTGCCCAATTCTGTAGAATTTTGGCATATGGCGATGTTGTTATTTCAAGCCGAACATGCCGAGCCAAGTTAGCGATGTTGTTACTTCGAGCCAAACATGCCAAGTCAAGTTTTAATCTTCTTTTTTAACCCCTCCTTTTGCCGGCATGGCAACGTACGTGCACGGACTGGCAGCAAATAGTCAACCGAAAAACCAAAGCAATATCCATTTTTATGGGAAATATTTTATCCGTTATATATATATAGTTATATATTTACTGTTTATTTATTTATTTTTTTGGTTTCTCGCCCGGTATCCGGGGTTTCGCTCCGACTAATCTGGACCCGACCCGCGTCGCGCACCTGGAAATGATAGGTGAGTCTCCCAACGGAGGCTATTGCGTGCACAAGGTCTCAAACTCGAGACCTTGCTTAAGCTGGAATAAGCAACTTACCACTTGATCTAACTCCTCGTTGGTATATATTTACTGTTTATTTGTTCCAATGTAGTTATCATTTTTTTTTAATTAATTTTAAATTAATTTTCATTTGTTTTATTTTTTAAGGTAGATAAATATTTTTTTTACTTTAATTTAATCAATTTTCATTTACTTTAATTAATTTTCTTATCACGAAAAATTTCACTTTATCTTTTAATTTTTTTAAAGAATAATATAACTAAATATACAAATTATTTAAATCCTTAATTTAGAGAAAAATAAGAAAAGATAATTATTTTGAGATTCAGAGAGTATTTTCTTTTGGTGGGGACCCATTAAATCCTCAGTCTTTGAATATATTAATTTCTTTTTTTTTTTTCAATATTCTTAAAAATATAGTATCAATCAAAATTAATTTTTTTTTAAAAATTATTTCTTTCGAATTAAAATAAGTATTATTTTTTTACTTTAAAATTGTCTAAAATTAATTATCTTTTTTAAAATTTTAAAATAAATAAAAATTATTTTCATACTTTGAACATATCATTATCCATTCATTTTAATAATTATCTAGTTAAAAAAAGTCTCTCTTTATATTGTATCTTGTTTTAAAAGAATATTATAAGTATGTACATAAATTATTTTTAAATTATTAATTAAAAAATTAAAACATAAAAATTATTTTAAAACAAAAAGAATAATATCATAAAATATACTTGAAGCCATAACTTTTTTTGAAAAATTTTGACCCTCATTGGATTTTCTGGCTCTGCACTTGCCCGATCTGCCAGGTGTACTAGCTAGTTTTTTAAATTTGTGGCAAAAAACAAGAGGAAAATCACTTGTTTATTTCTGGTGAGATAACTTATAATTTATGGCAAAAGTGTTTTAGATGGTGGGGATAATTTTTGTATTGAGAAATGATTGCCAGGACATGTATCTACAGCATGATTGGATTAGTGTGCTAAAAATTGTCGAGGAATGCTGGAAGGTGGTGTGTTTTGCAGTAGTGTGGTTGATTTGGTTATACAGGAATAAGCATGTTTTCAGAAACTGGGCAGTCAATGAGGATAGATTGTTTGATTCAGTCCAGACCAGAGCATATCTTTGGTGCAGAAGATGGATTGGGTTTAAGTATATCTCTTTTATGGAGCAGTGCTTACAACCAAGGCAGGTCCTACATGATAAGGGTAGGCAGCCTAAATTTTGAATGGGATAATAATTTACAGGGTATATATGATTGGGAGTTGCTAGAAGAAAATAGAGGCTCTTAATTGGGCATCAATGTATTTGCTCCAATGGTTATATATGAGTTAGAGTATTTCTTTGTACTCTAAATTTAATAAATATATGTT